AAATCCTCACTGTTTGCTAATCCTGAATACTTTTTTAAATTTGTCAACTCAAAAAGAAAACTTTCCACACATTCCGCGCATGTTTCTTTTAATGGCTTTAATTCCTTGGATGATTTTGAAATCTTAAATCTGTTTGCTGAGTATTTCCGACGAAATTTTGCGACTGCTAATTCCGATTTATTCGAAGGCCTGTAGGGTACTGATTATGTATCGTATTAATTAGGCTTCATATTTCGAACTTCTTTGGTATGTGAACGCATAAGAGATGCGAGAAACTATTAGATCAAGCACAAGCTAAGTAGTCCACGGCTTGCGTTAGTATTCAAAGTTCATTTCAAAGTTGCATTTATAAAAGTAAACAACTGCAAATTAACGGACATGGCTTAATGAGTTCAGAATTCGACGCTGATCAAGAATATGTACACTTTATAGAGTCTCTGAAGCTTCTTTTTGAGTGTTACTTATATTATGAAAAAAACGAGAATACCCCATCTTACAGTGGTGGGTACAAAAACGTTGTTATTGACGTGACAGTGAGGCTCATTTGACATATAACCAGAATTCTAAATTATGTACGCGTTTTAATGGAACTCTTAATTTTGAAATAGATATAGGATCACTAGTAGCTCTAATCAAAGCGGCAGCGGCGAAGAAGCACTTTCTTCAATTTCAATTGCACAATTCTGAACGAGAATTGGTTACTTATTGTAATGGGAAAGTGAAAATGATTGGCTTCATGTTGTTATGTTCATGTGGAGCGGTGCGAAAACTTTAAATTGTACGTCGTGCACTCTAATAGACAACCCTAATTTAAAAGTGAATGGTTGTCAACGTTGAAATTGAATTTGAATACGGCCTCTGAAGACTATAACGAGTTCAAATTAATTGAGGTCTCTTAATAAATAATTGATGCAGGTTTTATTGATACCGCAAAAAGTTCAAATTTGTTTTGTTTTTGTAATAAATAATTGGAGTAATTTTTATTGGTACCGCAAAAAGTTCAAATTTATTGAGTTCTCTTAATAAATAATTGTCCATAATATCTTCAATGAAATCTTCTTTTACTTCATTTCAATTTTCGCTCTGTTTAGCAGACATTTTTGAAGTTCAGTGTGATAAGAAAATAAAAATTTCAAAAGCTCTTATAGCTCTCTCTTCGATATGATATGATGATATGATATGATAGTTGTTAGACTGGGCTGGCGTTTGAAAATATGCAACAAACTGTCAGGGTATCCCGATTTATTTTATATTTTGAAATACATCGTCTGGTTATTTGGCTCTTTAGAGAATACCGTAACGGTATTGAATGTGAAGAAGAAGAACAAAGCTATTCATACGTTCCGTTAAAAGTCTCATAGTTTCTGTTGTTAAAGAGATTATACTGCCAGGATAATCTGTGAATATAGCACGAACTGTGGGTCAATGGGGGTTGTCAAAGCTTATAACTATTGTTACTGCGAAAGAAATTTAATACTCAACCAAGTTTTGAATGAATTTTATTTAATCCATCGATAACTTAGTAGACACAAAGAACTTCAAGTTCAAATTACTTCAAGATCCCTCCATCTAAAAAAAAAAGCCTAGCGAAACCCGATATAAAGATTTATAAAGCTTTGGGAACTCCAACGAAAACACTTAAAAGTCGATATAAGCGCTTGTCTCTATTGACACCCATAGGAGCTTCGTTTACATTCTTATTGCTCATAAAATACGAGATTAATTTAGATTATAAGTGCTTATATATATAATATACAGTATGTACATAAATTCGTGTGCCAGACTTGGGAACATAAGCGAATTATTGTGTCAGACCCTACGGACCTATGTAAATGCAATATTTTAATAAAAGTTAGTAACTCCGTTCTGTAGTACTCTTCAGACTTACACATATAAACGAAATCCATTTTAATTATTTTAAATACAATCATGTAATGTTGTTTTTGTCTTTGTGTACCCGACCTACGTATTTTCATTGTGATTATCAAATTCCCCATCTGTTCCCTTTCTATGCTTGTGTTTGGAAAAACTTCTTAGTTTTTAATATTTTTAATATCTTTTCCAGTGTTCTGATTCATATCCTTTTGGACACTACTGCAAGGATCTTCTTTTCATAGGAACTTTGAAATCCATTCGAGTCTTCATAAAACGGTACTTCACTGTACTCTTCTATTGAAAGAGCTCCTTCCAACTTTTTCCTTTCCAAGTCGTGCGAAACGCAATATTTTGATCACTTAACAATTTCTCTTGTTCATCATTTAGAACTGTTTTTGCAATTTCATTTGCTGTAATGCAATGCAGTTATGGTACAAAAAAGCTGAATGGGATCAGGCTCATTAATAGAATACATTTTTCCATTCTCTGCGACGCGTTATTAGGTTCAAGCGAAATAAATTCGTCAATTGCCGAATCGTAAGTAAAACCGTTTACGCCAAACTTAAGACAACAGCTGTAGCAGAACCATATAAAGCATATCCAGCTGCTACGACTTTCTCTCTCACTTATTCTCATTTAACAGTAAGTATTATGTTTTTTCTCCCACTTATTCTCATTTAACAGTAAGTATTATGTTTTCCAGAATTAATTGTCCCTTTATTTTGTTGAAGTTTGGTGAGATTTTTTATTCGCCACTTTTCTTATTTATTAAAAACAAATGTGCTCTTTTCATTTACCTCACTTGGTACTTTTTTTTATAAACCATGTAAAGAAAAAAAACAGTTAACGGATTTTTGTGAAACAAAAGAAATTTGACAAGCGCAAAAAGAAGTGATTCGAATTGAAAAATTTAGAAATTAAATAAAATCTTTCACAATAAATTAGATAAAAAATTGCGAAATAAAAATATAAAGAGTACCAAATTAAGTGGATTACAATTTTTAAATATATCTCATATTTTGTGTATTAAAACTTTTAAATATGTTATTTATTAAAGTTGTTAAATATACCTCAAATTTTGTGTGCTAAAATTTTTAAATATACCTAACAAAGAAAATAAGTGCTTTTTTATTATTTACAATTTCACTTGTTAGCAAAGAGGTCCACCTGAGATTCGTATAGTTTTTCTGGAAATCTCTACGGTGCCTCTAGGTGCTAGCAATGAAATCGATGAAAGATGATTTTTTCATATATATGTATTTTGATTGGAAATAGTTTTCTTTTTTAAATAAACATAATGAAAGGTCAAATAAATGAATGAAGAAACAACTGATTGAATGAGTGAATGAGTGAGCAAGTTAATATTTAATTGTAAAATGTACATATTTGTTGTACACCTGCATTCGTATTGGCAGCATTACAACTACAAATATGTGTGCCGCCATATTATTTATATTATATTAGCCATTTTTTAGAATCTGCATTAAGAACAGAGAACATATCAATTATTATTATTGCATGCAAATGCTGAAAATTATTCTGCACATTCCTAATGAATTATTACGTTAGTTTCTATAAGACAAAATCGATAATCAATGTTTTAAATTAAGGTTTAAGCACAATGGTTAATATATAGTCGTTTGTGTTTTTATGGTATTCGTATTATGTTTTTCTTCAATATTCCTTCCTTTCTGCTGCTTGCCTTCCAGCTTAAAACTGAAGCACTCTTGAAGGTTTTGAACTCTTTTGTTACGTTTCACTTTGTTATTATTGTTATAATTCAGTTTTCTCGATATATTTTTTCTTCTCTGGTTCTTCTTGGTTTTTTTTTTTTGTTTTTTTTTTTGTTTTTGTGTTTTCTTCTTTTTTTTTTTTTCTAAGTAAAGTTCAAATCACTTGAGTGAAAAAATTTCAACTTTAAAAATTTTCTCAAATGTTTTAAAAGCACTTTGTGAGTTTTAAATAATTTTTATGTTTATATTCAAAAATCATTTAATTTTGGTTTTAACTATGTTTTTTTAGTTGATGCGTTTATAAGTCACAATAGATATTAATCATGTATGGATCAAGCGATATAATTAAGTCGTCTTGTCTGCGAAAATCAAAAATTATTTTTTTTTTTTAGATATAAATTGTAACAAGTTGGGTTTAGTGACTATATAAAAGTTGAGTGAGAAAATACAGCTTAGTTATATTTTTGTTTATTATTTATTTTATATTTTTTTTCATTGAAAGGAACTTTTTTTAATTAAATAAAAATTTCAAGGAATTTCCAGCTAATATTTCAAAGAAATCTTCTTTTTTTTTGTTTTGTTTTTTAAAAATAATTTTGGAATTCGTTTTTTTTTTTCTTATTTTTTAACACACTTTCTTTCATTCACCAAAAATATCCTTGCTTGCTCATTGCTTGCAAATAAAATATCATTCTTGCTTAAGATTTTCTTTATATATATATATATACATACATATATATACATATATATATATATATATATGTTGAAATATTTTTTTCAATAAATTTCCCGGCAAAAATTATTTCTTTATTGATTAGCAATTACACTTTTTAACATAAATTTATATGGAAAACATTTCTTTTTTTTCGTTTTTTTTTATATCTTTTTTTTTAGCTGAATAATAATATTTTTTCTTTTTAAGAATTTTTTTTTTTGATACGAATACATGAAGATCGTGGACATGTGAACGACTTGATCAAGATCATATTCATAAAGTGCTCCTAAATTTACCATTGAGTAAACTGATCCACAATCTGTGTGCATTGATCAAGTATCAATAGCAATAGCATTAGTTTGTCTGCATTCGGTAGTTCATATAAAAATAATTCAAATCAACTGCAAGTCTTAACCAAATTAACTTAGGAGATGTAAAACTCTTTAAAACAAGTCAACAAATACCCTATAAGCGGACTTGAGAAAACCGATATAATATAAAACGAAACAAACAAGGAGAACATTGAAATTGCATTTTCCGATGAAAGCATTTCTCAGTAGTTACTTGACGTTTATAAAGTAGTTCTCTTATTGAAGTTAAACAGTTTTGACATCTGCTGTGCTTGAAAGTAACCTAAGCACCTAGGTTTGTTATAATTTTTTCTTTGTTTTCAATCGTTTATAGAATTCTATGTGTTTTGCTAATAAAAAAATATTAACTGTTTCTAGTTATCTTATCAAGGTATACGAGCTAATTAAATAAACAGTAAAAAAAAAAAAAAATTTTTAACTTTCACACCGTATGATAACTAATACAGTTTTTATATTCTATATATTTCTATATATCAAGTTCAAAATAAAGATTTTAGTGGTTATGCCTGCTTAATTATTGTGATACTTAGTCATGGTTCACGTCATGAAGAGATTGCCGCCAAAGATGGTCACTACTCGATAGATGATGATATGTTATTTCCTATATTAAAAAATCGTTCTCTCAACGATAAACCGAAATTATTTTTCATACAAGCTTGCAAAGGTTCTATGGAAACTTTGGGCCAATATAAGGACGCTGTACCTTTTCAAGCCGTTGGCAATGCTAGTGAAATTCTAAAATGTTACAGCACTTTTGAAGGTATAATGAAGGACTTTATTGCGAATCATTATAAATTTTTTTATAAAAAAATTTCATTTCAAATAGGATTTGTGTCTTATCGCTCTGACAAAGGCTCATTATTTATACAAACTTTATGTCAAAATCTTAAATTATTTGGTTGCACTAAAAACATTAAAGACATTATGGAACTGGTGACGCAAATTGTTAAACAACAGTCACAGTGAGTTATATTTTCATTATATCAATCTCATTAACCGCATACTAAAATTATATATATATATATATATATTCCAGAAGTAAGCAAATACCGGCCTATACAAACATCCTCACGAGACCTTTTGTGTTTGGCGATTACGTGAAATGGGTTCAGTAGAGCAAAAATAAACCTCTTCCCCAAAAATTATTTGGATTAATTCGCATTTACATTTGACATTTGGTTGATGGGACAGACAAAAATTTTACATTAAATAATACTGAAGTACTATTAAGGAAATCTTTTTTTTTTTTCTATTTATCGCTTATAAGTTTTTATTAAAATCGAAAAGGCATTCGCTGCCTAATTTCTTTATAGATAATTAAAAATATAATTATAAAAATAAATGGTTAGCAAAGTAATGTTTAATCGTTTGTGACCAACAACAGACAATGACTACAAGGGGACTATTTTGAATGAAGAAAGAAAGCCATTTGTCATATATGTAGCACTTCACAACCCCCTTGTGTTCCCATCCACCAAGACATGTGTCAGTAAATCTATCATTAAGATAGAAGCTGTCCTTATGACCTCTTTTGACCTCATAGTGCGTGGAACGTTGCAAAACAAAAACTTCCTGCAAAGAATATTGCAGTGTAATTATAGAATTTTCTTTATAAAAATATGTTTTTAAAATAAATTTTTTTTTTTTTTTTTTGAAAATCGAATTATTTCTATTTGAAAATATTTAAATTTTTAATTGAGAAAATCCACGATCAGTTGCGTAAATAAAAAAAAAAATAAAGCAAATAATACTGCGGTGCAAATATTACGAGGCTCTTCACTCTTATAATCCGAGGTAATTCGTCGGATTCCAGGGTCATCTCATAAGTATTTACCTTTCGTTATATAACATAACTTTTTTTCTTTTGTTTAGAGTTTTATACATTACGTGGAAAATCTTTGTCTACGTTGCTGCTAGCGCTTGGATAATCAGTGCACCGGTTAAAACCATCTCCACATGGAAAATGATAAATTTTGGAGGGAGTGGGTTTGAAATCATAGAGAGGGTTTGAAGGTCATATTCTTAAAATTAAACAGGAATTCGCTTTTTTATTCCAAATAATTCATTATTTGGGTTATTGAGACTGTACACGTTAACGGCTAAAACCAGTTATCAAATATGAAATTGTGGGCTGTGCATACCGATTTTTGTATGTTTGACGGTGTAAAAAGAAAATGTGCAAAGGGGCGGCCTGTAAGTCATCCACTCGATCTCTCTGAAACTCTCTCATTGAAAAGCAAAATGCGTAAAATGCTTTGTAAGAAAATATAACAAAATTATTTTGTCGATTTCAGCAACGCAAATGCCTCAAGCGGTTGGCGCAGCTTACGCTATGAAGCGGCGCAAAAATAATGATGCGTGCGTTGTTTGTTATTTCGGGGAAGGTGCTGCTTCTGAGGGTGACGCGCATGCGGCTTTCAATTTTGCAGCCACATTGCATTGTCCTGTAATACTTTTCTGGTGAACTAGATATTCTTTTACAATCAAACCATGTTTTCAAAACTGTTCGATTATCTTCTTTCTTAAAGTCGCAATAATGGCTTTGCTATTTCGACTCCGGCTCATGAGCAATATAAAGGTGACGGTATAGCTGGGAGAGGTCCTGGTTATGGAATAGCAACTTTACGCGTAGATGGCACGGATGTTTTTGCCGTTTACAATGCCATGAAGTTGTGTCGATAATATGTTTTGAAAGAAAGTAAACCGGCAGTGTTGGAAGCAATGGCTTACCGGTAAGTCGATAATGTAAATACAAAATTTATATTTCAACACAATATTCTGCGTACATATAGAGTCGGTCACCATTCGACTTCTGACGATTCGACAGCATATCGTTCATCTGCCGAAATTGAGGTGTGGAATTCGGTCGGGCATCCAATTTCCAAATTGAAAAATTACATGGTTAAAAGAAATTGGTTCAACGAAGCAGAAGAAAATGAATTTGTTAAAGACATACGTAAAAGAGTATTAAAGCAAATTTCAATTTCGGAGAAAAAACTCAAACCCATCTGGAAAGAATTATTTACAGATGTTTACAATGACGTTCCATTGCATTTATAGGAACAAATGAACGAGCTGAAGCGGAATATTGAAGAGAACAAAAGTTACTATCCCGTTAAGAATTTTAAAGCTTAAAAACTTCATTTTTTCAATTATTTTTCACTACCGTGAAAGATTCCTCTCGTTAAATTATTTAAATAATTGGTGGCAAAGTGCTTTACGTATTTATTGTTTTGTAATATTATTAGTATGCGAATACGAATTTATGCATTGTAATGATTATTGTATAGCTAAAATTAATTCTGTATCTTAATTTTCTTTTCTCCTTAATTTACATATATTATTGTTTGTTATGTAGTCCAATATTCAACTCAATAAGACTCACAGAGAGTGCATTTATTAGTAAATTAAGACTTTAAAATTGCATATACATATAAAATTTTTATAATGAACGGACTTGATATATACAGTTTTCCTTGTTTTTTACAGTAATGAAAATATTTATAATTGTATACCCGAAAGTTGAGAAGTTTGTTAGACGTGCCGGTTAAAAATGTAGTTTTTTTTTTGATACATTCTTATTTTGGATATCTGTAAGGCGCAGTATATACAATTTTCGAACGCTATATTAAATGGAGCCTTAATTAACTTCCGATGCAGGATCAGTCAATGTTCGCGTCTTCCCACTATAAATCACAGGAGGAAATGGAACAGTGCTGAGGTGAAAAGTGGGGAATTAGGGTGAAGTGCTAATAAGTGCTCAGTTAAAAATTTGTTTGCCGAATTGCATTCTTCTTCCGCTCTTGACAGCATTCTTTTCAATTCAATATTTTAGCGAAATGGTTGAATGTATCGCAATCGCTTGTTTACTGCCATATGGATAAATTAGGGGAAGTCGAAAAGATGAAAAAAAAGAATTATTGCTCGAACTGAGAAACAATTTCACTACTGAGTGCCATGACTTCGTATTTGATGACTCCTTACGTAATTATTTGGTAATTAGAATGTAAAAGATTACTTTAAAACAATTTTTTTTATTTTGCCATGAAAATTTTTCCAAATTCAAGTCTTCTTGCCTTAAGCAAACTTATAAGACGACGTGAGATTGGGGAAGAAGACTTCTTCAGGATCCATTGGTGAGTTGCAATTGTATGACCAAGGCGAATTCTCGAAAATGTTTGGATCTTGGTTTTCTCAACATTTGTTGGATATAGAGGTGGAGTTAATTGAGAGTTAATGCAAGAGTAGTGTTGATGATGTTATTGTAAATTTTCTTCTGCAATTTTCTCTTTAACTTTTCTTCCAATGTATCTTTGAAGATCCAACTTTTCCATGACATCATCCATAATTAGAGGAGCAGAAGCAGCATACTTTGCCGCTTAGCGTTTATTTTAACATTCCATTTGTTCATACAAAGTGAAATTTTGTTCAGATCAATTCGTGTTCGTAGGGAACATTCACTAGATAGAAACGGGATTGCTGTGTCATGAGTATATGCCGCACTTAAAATAAAATATCAGCGATCGAAGAATCTGAACTGCAAATTGTACAGAGTTTTACTATCAAACCACTTCTCTAAGGCACTTTACCATCAATATTATATACATTGGACCTACCATCTTCATCTTTAACGTTGAAATAATAAAAATAAATAATAATTTCTGGTCTAGCACTAGGGAGTAGTTTCCGTAGATATATTTTTTCCAATATTTTAGAAAGTGTCACCAGTAAAATATACGAGCCTGCAATAATTTCGTTCGTAAGAAGCCTTTAATGTTAAAAATTTAGTAGTTATTCCACATATCCAATTACATTCAGGATGTTTCGTAACGTCCAGTTTGCTAATTTCTTTCTCGACTTCATCAACTGATGTAAAAGAATATATATAAGCTGTTGGAACGAGATAAAAACCTAAACATTTGTTAACTTGTCATATCTTCTAGGTGATGCTACAACAGCAGCAGCAACAATAATTGCAACAAGTCCAAATGGATCAGAATGTCAATATGCAGCAATCACAGGAAATTCAAAATTCAAAATGTTATGAAAAACAAACAATAAAAGCCATTTATTTTAAAGTTGAAATATATTAATCAAATTGTTTTATTAAAGTGGTAAATGGTCGTTGCCAAATTATGGATCAATTTGTACACAAAAATATATCAGATATTACATATTACATATAACTAATTAATTTTCTTAATACCCATCAAGAAACAATAATTTGAAACCACATGTGTGGTATGTAAAAATTTTTTGTAAAACAATATCGTAGGGAACCGATCGTTTTTTACCACTTGGAAGTTCTTAAAATACATCGAAATGTCATTAATTAAATAAAATGCGAAAAAATAGCAAAACTAATTTTAAGGAAAAAAGATATCGACACGTTTTTAAATTCAAAAAAACCAGTTCCGTTGCTTTTACACAATGTAATATAAAGTCGTACTTATTTCTTTCAACTAGTATAATTACGACTTAAGCCCGAGAGCCGCCCTCTCTTCGGTCTATTGACGCCTGGTGTACTAGTCGTAGTCTCAATTTGTCGCGAGGTTCTTTCCGGTGTCTCACAAAGTTGGGGGTGTGGCCTATAATTATATTTTGGGTTTAATGACAATGATAAGAGCCTTTTGCGACACAGCGTTGGACCAGCTGATGCAAATTTGCTGTTGCTGGGAGCTTCGTCCAATTTTACTTCTTCGCACATCGCTTACACGTCTGTTTTTTTGGCTATTTGCGCACTGCTGTTTCCAGTTTTTCCAAACTTGGACTGCATACTTTTAATCGACATTCGAGCTTTTATGTCTTTTAGTTCAGTTTCATAATTCGTTTCTTGCAAATTGTCTTGAAATTCTCT